CGGCTTGGTCTTGCCTTTGCTCACTTCTGCGGCATACGAGATAGACTTCCCGATATGCCGCGACAGGAGGATGACGAAGACCGGGAAGAACACAAAAGGGGTCACCCAGGCAAAGACCCCAATCCCCGCCAGGACCTTTTTCGAGAGCGGGGCGTCGTAGATCACGCATGGAAAGCTCTCTAACGGCGACTCTGCGTCCTGTGACAGAGTACCATTGGCCGTGTCTATGACCATTATGGCCTCGGCCTTATCCCTATCACAGGCCCTGTCCTTGAGGTAAAGCGCTCGTAACTCATCCACATGGAGCTGCGTATCGGCATCGCTCAACAGGCCGACGTGGACCCGCTCCCCGTCTACCAGCCGGACCTGCGCATAGCGGTTATAAAGGTCGACCCCAGGGAGGTAGCACTAGTTGACATGCCGTCCGCTAGGCCACGAGAGCCACCAAAGCATCCCCGCAATCCAAAACATCACCAAAACAAAAAAACAGGCCCGGGGAACGAGCCATTCCTCGATCACGTCCGAATCCTTCGGTGGCGACGACGGGGGCGCGTCGATGCCAGGAAAGCCCTTGCCATCGCCAGGCCCGTCTTGGCTTGGGCCGCTGCTCCTCAGGAAGGTCCCCGGACACTTCCAAAGTACGGTCCAAGTCCCCCACCCCAGCCTGCGGGGAGGAAACTGGACGTCACGTGGCCATGAGAGAAAGAGCCAACTCTCCCAAGTAACCCCCCCCTCCCCCTGGCGTCTCCCATCCCTCGTTGGAGAACCGCTTGAGCTGGTAGTCATTAATTGTGTTTAGTGTGCGGCCTCGCAGGAGACTCTCCAACCCACCTGTGGAAAAGACAGGCGAAGACGTCATTGAGTTGTCGATACAACCTTAAATAGCTGATTTACAGGATGGCGATGGTGGCTATTTCCGCTAGGTGCCTGAACCAGATCGAGTGCCCCTTCACCCCGGGTTGCACCGCTGCATTATCTATATGTATGGACGCACGCTAATAGCTATTTTAAGGTTATGAATTGGAAGAGATGAATAAGTAACTTATTAATGTTATTGAAATGTTATACGGATGATAATAATGCCAAATAACACTGTATTAGGTCATCCCCATACAATTGAATCGGGTTCTGATTATGTAACATTGAGTATCCATAGAATAGTCAAAATATAATAAAATAAAGAAATTCATCCTATGTAAATTCTTATGAAATACCGATCTCCGATGAAATTTATACAGTCCCAATACAATTGTTACACACAAATTCATTGGTTTCACTTTTATAAATTTATGCAATAATAATATTGAACTTCTACATTGTTTTTCCTTCTGTAAGTTAATTTATATAGAGCAATCATAATAATAGAATGATTTATAGTAGCAACAAAGACACATTAATAAAAAAAATTAGGCACTTAGGTCTTATTCTTCTTTTCGGACTGCTTTTTAAATTAAATAATATATAACAATTCGAATCAACAATTTAGTTCTGATAGTTCAAGTGTATCGTGTAATTTAGTTCAAATCTTCATTTATGCAAAGAAATCCTAATCAACACTTACATTCCAGAATACCTACCCAATATACCGTGTTAGATTGTTTCCCATCAACCAATGTTGTAATGACACAAAATTAAAATTGAATTTGTGTCAGTACCCGGATATATGTAAAGGTATGCATATTTACGCATATTTGTCTCCCAACGAGCGTTTTATGACTTGGAACAAGTACCTTGAATTTCAAAAAAAAACATAGATATCTTACTTGGTTTTACTTTGTATTATAATACAAAGTAAATATTTCAAAATAATTTATGTACATGTATATGATATAATAGCAATTATGTTATACATATGTGCTATCAAACTCGCTATAATAAAATAGTAGAGTTTTAGACATGCATAAGTTCATCATACTCTCAATTGAAAAGACTTCTCGCCGTTGTCCCTAAAGCTTTTGATATTTTCCAAAAGGAAGTCTTAGTTTTTGTTATATAAAAAAAAAAAAAATATATATATATATATAAATATATACTTTCCGGCAATTAGAAAGTACTTTTACTTGTTCTATCCCTTTACTTAAAGCTTGTTTTTGCCACTTTAATGGATAAATAAAAATCTTTTTATGCTACAAAAGAATCAAATGTCAGTGGGAATAATGAAATATTTAACACTAAATATATAGGTCTTTCCCTTTGTTTTAACCTTTACTTAGCAACTGGATAGTGTAGTAACCTTCATGAAGTTTCCCTTTCCTTGGATCTCATTCCCTCAAGGAGTTTCTTGTACCGAAAGTGGAACCAAAATGACGTTAATATGCTGCTGAATGAAAGGGCAACATAAATAGCGAGGGTTGTATTCATGCACTTCCGTTTACCGACGCAAATACGACCATAAAATGGGTAAACAGTTGAATAATGATTGTACGGCAGAAACCATGCCAAGTAATAGAAAACAAAGAGCCCAATTGCCGCGGCAAGAAAGGAGAAACTGTAATGCATCCCAATGTCGCGGTCAAACATGGTGCTGAGAATGTAAAATGTCATCGAATGGCTCATACCGAATATGTAAGGTCCTAAAATGTAGGTAATAATCAGAGAATAATTACCTGGAAGGGCAATCCATAGGATCATAGAAATAAACATCCCAATTGAGGCAACAGGGTAGGCCCACGTAGACACCATTGGGGTTCCAAAACGTAGATACATCCTGTTTAGAACCTCCTCATAGGTTCCAATGAAAGTTCGCCCTGTAGCGGTACTAATACCGGACATAGAAGCAAAAAGAATATACTTCGCGTAGGTGGTGTTTGGATCCCGCGCGGTGAGCATGACTTTAATATTCCAGTTTCCTGTCATGGTCATGCCGATACCCCACATCACAAACGTTGTGTAGAAAACAAGCCAAACATCAAGATGAGCAAGACTTCGCCAAAACGAGATTTCATAGACCGGCGTTACGAAACCCTCATGACCGATGTTGATCATCTCGAAGTAGGGTGAGGCGTACGTGGAGGGCTTGCGCGATTCTAAAACCAAAGTATGAATGCTACCTTCTGTGTGTTGGGAGTCATTCTCGTGATTGGAACTTTCGGCTTCTGAATTTGGGTGAGTGTCCTCTGTGAGCATCGTTTTGGGTGGACTTGAGGGATTAGAAAGGTTTTCGACAGGATGCGCTTCCGCGTCTGGGTAGGGAAGGGTGTTTCTGGTGTCCTTTTTCATCGATTTTGGAATCGTGGGGTTGACTTCATTCGGTAACTCTCTGAGGTCAACCTCAATAATTTCCAAATCATTCACGTTATTTTGTGTGTAAAGCACCTGCACAGCTGCATTAGGTTCTTCAGATTCACCGCCATTGTGGCGCCGCCTAATTTGCTCTTCCTTCTCTTTTGCGATGCGGATGAATTCCGCATCCCGGTTTGGTTCGCCATCCATAAAGCGGAAGGGCCAAATCAAGACGGTCGCGAGCATCAACAAAAGAACCGCACCGACGGAGATAACGGTGTACTCATGTTTTGTCATTGTATCTTTATTATACCCCGCGACGATAGCTTGAATGGTAAGGTAGATATTCAGCAAAACCAGGCATAACGTAAATAAAATAAATCGTCTTCTGGGAATAAGCTGCGACATATAACGATTCCGTATAAGATAGCGATCCACTTTCTTCTTTAGCGTGAGCCTGCGCATATCCCAGTGCGTTGTGATGTAAGGCGCATCCTCAACATACCACACCGCAAAGAGCCCAAAGACAACACAAAAGGAAAAGATAAACCACATTAAATGGTCGTAGTGATTAAGAAAAAATCCACGATAGAAACATGCAAAGATCGACGCGCCGAGATTAGAAAAAGTTACT